TACAGCGATGAGGCTGTTATAAGAATCTATAAAGCATAGAACTCTTCTGTTTCCATTTCCATTGTTATTTATTCATGCCCTTTTTTGTCTCCCAATCTCTTAATCTCGCCTACTTTTAACTCTGTCCCTTTCCATTCTCTGTTTCTTCCTTCCCTTTCATCTCTTCTCCACCCCACTCCTCTATATTTGCCACTATCCTGAGTTCTTTAATTTTCTTTTCCGTTTTGCAAGTTTCTCAGACCTTTCCCCAAAAGATTAGTACTGAACTACCCACATCCCCATCTCCAAAGAGTGGAATGTAATCAACCCCTTACACTGTGCTGGGGCTGTATTACCTGTAATTACCTCCAACCCAGCTGTTCTACTTCTAAGCCATTCTGAGTCTCTGCTGTTTCATTCTCCTCGGCCATTTTGTGTTACCCCTCAGCTTCCAAAACCTGGATTTGTGCTGGAAATGGCCCACCTGTTGATCACTTTAGATAAGCTATTACCAGCAGGACAGTGGGGTGGGAGGAGGTATTGTTTCATATTCTCTGTGTGTATATAAAGTCTGCTGCAGTTTCCACGGTATACATCTGATGAAGTGAGCTGTAGCTCACGAAAGCTCATGCTCAAATAAATTGGTTAGTCTCTAAGGTGCCACAAGTACTCCTTTTCTTTTTGCGAATACAGACTAACACGGCTGTTCTTCTGAAACCCATCTCTTAATGAAATCATTCATTCAGTTGTTTATGATCCATCATCCTTTCTATTCTTTTCTCTGACTAATGTGATTCTTGTTTAACTTCTTTTATTACCCACCTCTCTTACCAATCCCTGTCGGAGTTCTGCAGCCAATATTAGCAGATATTGACTTCAGCGGAACTAGATATCAATGTCTATTGACCCAGGTGAAGCTAAGATCAATTTTTTTACCTCGAGGGACAATAAATCAAACATGAATTCAACTGTTATGTACATTCAGAATATATTTATTAGAACTATCTGGAAATCTGATCATTGTGGTCATGAATACAATAGGTCTAATTTAAAACAGAACAGTATCAACCACAATTAACATTCTAAGAGGAGATGAAGATAGTCATCTGTAAAAGGAGACAGAGTTAGAAGTTTGTAAAATAAACTAAGCACCTGACCATTTATATCCACAGGAAGGGTCTAAGAGCCACAGATCACTACCTGAAAAAGCTCCTTGTCTAACCCCTGGAAGAAGTAGGTTGGCTTCTGTCAGCTGAAGTGTCCCAGCTGTTCCATATGCTGTACCAGAGCCCAGACTGGAAGACAGTGTCTGACTTTTTAAGTGGTAGTTTGATAAAAGCTTTTTAGGCATTTCTTATTTCTTTTCAGCAAAACTATTTGTACCAACCCATCATATTCTGCTTACAACTTAAGACCCAGTTTTAAAGTTAAACAACTTCATATTTACAAAAAGAAAAGGAGTACTTGTGGCACCTTAGAGACTGACCAATTTATTTGAGCTGTAGCTCACGAAAGCTCATGCTCAAATAAATTGGTTAGTCTCTAAGGTGCCACAAGTACTCCTTTTCTTTTTGCGAATACAGACTAACACGGCTGTTCCTCTGAAACCGTTCATATTTACAGTCATGGAAAGTAGTGTTTCATTGGTATACCAGCTAATTGCTTTTTTTCCAAAAAGAAGATATAATAAGAATTCTAAATATCTCCGTGCATCTTCTCTAGAGAAAGTAAATACAAATAAAAAAAACTTTTTAAATAGTAAAGACATCTTAAAAATCTTTAACACAATGGAGCAGCTGTTACTGAGTTTACTTGATGGGTATATCCTGTCATTAGGGAAATCAGAGGCCTCTTCTAAATACCTTTTTTGTTTGGTTGTTTGTCAGCTCAAACACTGATTAGGTTCTTTTACAACCACATTGTTTGTTTGCAAAAATGCCACAGGAAAAAATCTTAAGTAGCAACTTGAGCTCTGTAGAGGCTCCAGATACACATAGGGCTATTTTCTTGAATTCATATACAGTGGATGATGTTACTAGGATCTAAAACCAGAAGTGCATGGGAAAAAAACTCGAGGGGTATTTTCAGTGATTGGTGTACACAAGTGAAAACAAATATGTTTAAAACAGAAGGCCTAATCCTGCATTTCTTATAGGAAATACTGACATTGCCATTAATGGGAATTTTTCCTCAGTAAAGGAAATGCAGGATTAAGTCTTGAAAATAAATCTAGAAATGAAAAACAACAATAACCCTGAGTCTGAATGTGAACTATTTGACAGAAGGAACTTCAACAAAGGGACACAAGGTAGGGTTCCCTTTTTTTTTTGTGTATTTTACCATAGACTCTGATGTATCTCACAGCTGACCAGAACAATAGTATTTAGACAGCAAGCTGTGAAAGCCTAAAGAGAATCCTCCCCATTTTCATGTTGAAAAATCCGCATCTAAATACACCATCTGCCAAACCCTGCCCAGAGCTGGTATACTGTTGGGTATTCTGGATATCTCTGGGCAGAAACAGTATGGAGCGGTCTTCTACTCTGCTATGCAGAAAATCCACGGGGGAATAAAGAGGGGTGTGTGTGTGTGTGTGCGCATCCATGCACATGTATATATGTATAAAGGCCAGAATCAAGCATAAAATTATTATTTTAAAATGTGAGTCCAGTAATTTGCTGGCTTCAGATTATGAAGCAGGTCAGTTTTGTGGGTAAATTCCTGTTTGCAATTTAAAATTACACTATGAAATGTGCAAAAATAGCTGGGTAACATATGGTGGCTGGTGACTTAACTAAAAATAATCCTGCATGGCATTAAAAATGTGAAATATTCTCTGAATTGCATTGGGAAATTTCTAACAGGTAAACTTACAATGTCCAGAAATGGTTACCATTGCCATCTGACAATATACCATGAAGAAGGGAAAGAGGGAGAGAATATACATACACACACATTTAATGCCATAGAGGCTGTTATTTATTTAGATCACCAGTACATTACTCAGTGACAGTAAATATTGTATATATGTATACACCATCTCTTTCACCATCAGAGAAAGAGTTGGGAGAAGGAGGGTAGGAGAGGAACAGAGAGAGTATTTTGTTCACACTTTTTGAAGAGGAGACCTGGTTTATAAGCTTCTTTGGAAGATGTTTTTTTTTTTTTTAAAGAGAGACATGAAGATGGAGAAGATGGAGGTATGGTGGACCAGGTTTTCCAGCCATTGCGGGCTGCATGGAAGAAGACATTGCAGTCAATGGGAGTTGGATGGGCTCTAAGTCATCAAGCAGAGCAAATAGGGAAGAGGAAGCACAGAAAGAGAAGAGGGAGAGGTAGGCAGGAGCTAAGTTGTGGAGGGTGCTGAAAGTAAAAACTTACTTATGAGATAAGTGGAAAGCAGAGGTGGTATTTGAAGAGGGGCCAGACTTAGTGAGAATGGAAGGAAACGCAATTGATTTTTGTGGCAGCATTTTGGTTGGATTGAAGGAGGAGGGAGGCCAGGATCTAGGATGTTCAGAAAAACCTGTTTTTTAAAAATGAAAGTGAGACACTGACATGACTCACTAAAACTTCATAGGACAGGATGCCAAAGCATCTCATCCTAACCTGCACCATGCATTTGATTCCTATCCTGGGCCTTTCACAAGTGAAGGTTATAGTTATTCCAAACTGTGAGGTGCTTTTTTGGGAGACCAGATTGAGACCTTCAAATTCATTTCATTCATCACAGAGGTAATGGCTCCTAAATCCAGGTTTCCAGAGGTAAAGAGCTAATGCTTAATCCTGTATACCATCTAGATCCTTCCTTAGAATCACATACATTTATGGTCTTCCTTAGAAGAATTTGCCATTTTTTCAAAGATAATTTTAGTGTTTATACGAGGTTCTAGACAGATGTCCTGGAAAATGACATCCTGCATTTAGCCACAGAACAAGTAAAACAATGGTCATGGCAATGCCAGCTTTCTCATGCTTTCCTTTCAAAGGGCATCAGTCTTGACTTGAGAGTAGCATATTCTCCATCCCAGGTCAATCTCAGCAGGAGTACACAGCAACAGCCATTGGGCTTTTGATGTGAACACCTGTCCATGAAAAGATGAGTTAATTTTACAGTGGACATCTAATGATTTTTGTCCACAATCAACCATAGTATCAATGTACAAAAACAAGACTTTTTCCATATTTGCATTCCTTTTGTTTGAAAAGGAATATTTACCTTCTTGAAATTATGTTTTTCAATCTGATTTCATTCAGCAGGTAAACATACATTTCATTATACAGATAGTTTGACAAAAAGGAACAGGAAACCATTTACTTAAGTTAAAACCCTCACATTATTATTGTTTGAAAAATATACATTTAAATAAAAGTGTTCAAAGGAAGCTAAAGATGTCAAAAGCATTTAGAGGCTGAACAGATCCCTGTTCAGATTACACCATTTCACGTAATCCAAATTCATACTCACTGTCACTAAGGTGAGCATTACGACTGTTACCAAACCCTACACAAATATTCAGATTTTTGTTTTTCCTGTCATGCTGAAGGTTATCTCCATAGTTGTTCTGAAAAATCAGGTGACAACCATTTCCCATGATGCTTTAAGGGCTGTCAAGCTGTCCATCAAACTGTCACCTGACCAATCGTTCCCATGGTTCTTTTAGTCTTCTAGTATGATAAATTGAAAGGCACTATTATCTGCCTGTTGTGAAGAGGAACTGCTTAGGCTTTGATAAGATATCACTAGTCCCAGGTGAGAGGAGACTGACAGCACATCAAGACAAGAAAACACATGGAAACAGTGAACATAGGAGCACAAGGATTACAAATATCTGTTGTCATTATTTATTACCCCTTTTCTTGGTTTTAGTTTTATATTTGTCCTATTGTCAGTTCAAATACAAACACTTCACTTTCTAGGCAGCAAATCTTAACTGTTGCTATTTTTACAGTTAGTTATAGAATGAGAAGAAGTATTTAAAATATGAAAGAGATCTTTAATAGACGGTTGTGTTACCTACCTTTTTTGATACACCTTGCGCTTTCCACCATTGTATTTGAAGTTTTCTATGATTCTCATGGTACAATTATGTCAGAGGAAAATGAGAAACCCTGGAAGATATGAAGATATTTTTAAAGCTCAACACCTATTTTCATTGATATCTGTGTTTATTAGGAAGACCTTCAGTTCCCAGTTTTTCTTGCTGATATCTCTGATCTCAGACTTTATATGAACACCCAAAGTTAGCTTAGGAGGTCTCAGACATAAAACAATATGTTGTTATTTATTGTGAGTTGTTAAGATTAAAAATAGTTGGTTGCTAACATCACCACCTTGTGTACAAATCTTTTTTTGCATGCAGATTTGTAATGTGATTAGGCAGCACTGTAATTTTATTAGGCAGTAACAGAGCCCCTCAGTTACAAAGAAGAACATTTAAATAATTTTGTAAATCAAAAATCTAAAAAAATTATTAATTTTTAGCCTTTTGTGTTTGTTCAACCACATTGCTACACTCCCCTGAAATGAGATTTAAAGCAAAGCTGACATACACAGTGAACAACTTGTATTCACTAGGATAAACACTAAGAATCAATGGCACAGTAGTTCAACAAAGTAACAAAATCATTTCTAAAGTACTAATAATGGTAATGGTCTCAAGTTGCAGTGGGGGAGGTTTAGGTTGGATATTAGGAAAAACTTTTTCACTAGGAGGGTGGTGAAGCACTGGAGTGCGGTACCTAAGGAGGTGGTGGAATCTCCTTCCTTTGCAGTTTTTAAGGTCAGGCTTGACAAAGCTCTGGCTGGGATGATTTAGTTGGGGGTTGGTCCTGCTCTGTGCAGGGGGTTGGACTAGATGACCTCCTGAGGTCCCTTCCAACCCTGATATTCTATGGTTCTATGAATAAAGGTTGGATTCACAATTACAGCATGTTCAGCCAACTTCAAAAGATTGTTTTCCACTTGGTGGCTCTTTTGAGAAACCACCCAGCTTGTTTCATGGACGGGGGGTCCCCCCCCCCCAAACTCTCCAATATGCTCATATTTAAATATGCAACTCACTTCAAAACATTAATCCAGTATTCATCCACTGCTATGAAACAGGGCCAATCATAAGTACATTGAGGTTCTCCATTCATGAGCCAGGTGAAAAGGCAAGTGGTGAGGCACACAAATATTAAATAGTGAATTCCATAATAAGTGGATTTGAACAAGACAGTTTCCTCCACCCTTTTGTCAAGAAGAAGGATGTTAGCTGAGGTGGAAAGACAAGAGTGAAATAACAAATCAATTTCCTGTATGCCATAGAAACAATTAGAACTACTTCAAGGGAATCTTAGCATCACTGAATGAACACACTCTATCAGCTGTTGTTTGGGTCTGGTAGCACCTACAATAGCACCTCCTAGGCACTTCCCAAAAAGAAAAAAGCATAGTCCCTGTCATAAATATAAAGGGAAGGGTAACCACCTTTCTGTATACAGGGCTATAAAATCCCTCCAGGCCAGAGGTAAATTCCTTTCACCTGTAAAGGGTTAAGAAGCTAAAGTAACCCCGCTGCCACCTGACCCAAAATGGCCAATGAGGGGACAAGATTCTTTCAAATCTGGATGGGGGGGGACAAAGGGTTTTGTCTGTCTGTGTAAGACCTTTGCCGGGAACAGATCAAGGATGCAAGCCTTCCAACTCCTATAAAGTTAGTAAGTAATCTAGCTAGAAAATGTGTTAGATTTTCTTTTGTTTAATGGCTTGTAAAATTCGCTGTGCTGGAGAGAGTGTGTATTCCTGTTTTTGTGTCTTTTTGTAACTTAAGGTTTTGCCTAGAGGGATTCTCTATGTTACGAATCTGATTATCCTGTAAAGTATTTACCATCCTGATTTTACAGAGGTGATTCACAGTATACAGATAGTATGAGAAGCTGACAAATGGTAGCATAGGAGGGGGCAGTGGGTAACATGAAATAGGACATGGGCAGATAAATAGGGAGGGGCAGAGTTATGAAGGACTTTGAACAGGTTGACAAAAAGCTTAAACTTGATGCAGCGGAGTAGGGGGAGCCAGCAGAGGGATTAAAAATGGGGATGATGGGGTCAAAACAACCAAATGATCTTACAAACAGTTTTTTTGCATAGACTGGAAAGAGAAAACGAGCATGTTGAAAAGGCCAGAAAGGAAGAGGAGACAGAGATAAAGAGGGGAAATGATAAGGGCCTGAATGAGAATTTTGGCTGCCGGGATGGCAAATAGTGGACAGATTATTGAGATGTCATGGGGGAAGAAGCAGCAGGATTTGGACATGACTGGGAAGTGTGGAATGAGGGACGAATCAAAGGTGAACCCCAGATTATGGGTAACCAAGGGGACAGTGATATTGCTCTCTTTATAGCTATCTTTCTTAAATAGTTTCCAGACACCCGTCACTGCAGTATTAGGTGCTATGCACAGTGCTCCACTTATCAACTGTCCTGCAGTAACAGACCTCACTGGCAGGAGAAACAGGATGGGTGTATATCATGCCTGCTTTTCTGCAAACACCACACATTAATACTTCAACAAGGTTTTAGTGAGTTTTCAGCAGTAGGCTGTATGGCACCAAACCCAATAAAGTTCTGTATACCTCCTACTGAACACATCATTGTTCATTGTTTTTCTCTTCCCATTCCCACCCCAATCTCTTGTACTTGCTGGCCAAATAGAACTTGAAGGTAGGAAAAGGGACATAGATTACAAAACTCTACTGCACCCTCATTGGTGAATTATTACGTTGCACTGAAGAGTCATTAGAGAAAATAATCCACCCCAATGTCATGAAAAGTCTGTTCACAACACTGCTGCTCAGAAAGAATTCCCATTGCTAACAATAAGGAACGCTGGATGTGTCGAATAAGGGCCGTAACTAAAGGGAAGGGATCTACTGCTGACCAACATCAGCCCTATTTTCTCCTCTTTATAACCTGACTTTCCCCCTTGGTAAAGATGAATGACGACACTCAAATATTGCATTATATAAAATACATGAACTCTGCTATATTCACCCCAAACACGAATCAAAAATCCATCTAATCTCTGCTCTGTATTAACAAACAACAAATAAGAAAAAGAATTATTGAACTGAGTATATAATAAAAGTAATTCCCCCACTGTTTACAAGTAAAATAAAGCATTAGACCTCATTAATGAATTTGTCAGCATCAGTTATACAGCACCAGTTGTCACATGACGTCAAAAGAAAGGAAAACGAAACGGGAAAGAGAAGACAATACAGGAGGGAATTCAACCCAGATTTTCCAAGTCCAAGTGCCCTAAATCACTGGACCACCCATCCAGTGCAAAACCCAAATTGCTGCTTTCTGAGATTGTTAGTTTCTCTGTAAGAAGTGTGAAACAAAAATGATTAGGGGTCTGGAACACATGAGTTATGAGGAGAGGCTGAGGGAGCTGGGATTGTTTAGCCTGCAGAAGAGAAGAATGAGGGGGGATTTGATAGCTGCTTTCAACTACCTGAAAGGGGGTTCCAAAGAGGATGGCTCTAGACTGTTCTCAATGGTAGCAGATGACAGAACGAGGAGTAATGGTCTCAAGCTGCAGTGGGGGAGGTTTAGATTGGATATTAGGAAAAACTTTTTCACTAAGAGGGTGGTGAAACACTGGAATGCGTTACCTAGGGAGGTGGTAGAATCTCCTTCCTTAGAGGTTTTTAAGGTCAGGCTTGACAAAGCCCTGGCTGGGATGATTTAACTGGGAATTGGTCCTGCTTCGAGCAGGGGGTTGGACTAGATGACCTTCTGGGGTCCCTTCCAACCCTTATATTCTATGATTCTATGATTCTATGATTCTAAACCATGTTTTTTCCCAGTTTGTGAGGCAAGAAGGGCTACGCTCTTCTCAGTGAGTCTGCAATATTTTAAGCAATGCAATGATCATCAGCATATGTGTATTAAAATTCCTTACTCATAACTCAAGAAAGAATAGTTAAAAAGAAGCAGTCAGAGGATACTTTAGAACTCCATGATGATAATGCTTATGTTACTCCATACAAAAATCATTTTCTGGCTTGATCAGAGGATATGCAGTAATGCTGGAGGTGAGTGGCTGCATCCACAACTGTGATGATGACAGCTTGGAGCCTTAGTATGAGCCCAATAAAATCTATTCAAGACCTTTCTGGGGGGTTAGTGATAGATTGTTGGGTGAGCAGGAATAGTTTTCTACAATAGAAGAGTATGCAGTATGTGTGTTTTTCTTGACAGTTTTTCTTTTTCCAGATCACTCTTTTCTAGGTTTGTCAGTCAAACACTTAGTCCATATCAACTCCGTCCTCCTGTACACAGTCTTTCCACCATTTTCTTGTTCTTTATCCATACACACTGGTCTCAAAGGCCTCCCTAACACGATTCCGTATATCCTTACTTTGTATGCGCCCATATCACGTCAGCCTCCTCTCTTGAAGCTTCTCCCTGATACCGCCAACCTCCTGGACCTCATTTCCACTTGTGGTCCAGTAAAGTCGCCCCTCTCAGTGTCCTCATTTGTCTCATTTCAACGACTCAAGTGCCTCTCTTTGGTCGCCCATGTCTCTCATCCATACAGAAGAACTGGTCTCACCATGGTTGTGTATAGTTGCCCCTTAAGTAGTCTGGGCATCCATTTATCACAAAATCACTCCATTTATCTTATGCCAGAGTTTCCCCAGGCTCAGCAGCCTTGCTTGCAGTGCTCTGTCAGCTTCTAATCAGCCCCCAACATACTTTTAACATTGTAAGCTGATTTAGGCACTGGCCCTCGATTTTGACATTCATCTGTTTTGGCTCTGTGCAAATCATCCACACAACTTCAGTCTTTTTTTCCCTCATTTTGAGGCCACAGAGTTAAGTTTCCTGTTCCAGGTATCGATTGCCTGGACCAAATCATTTTTTTGACAGTTTCTATAAACATTTTTTCTTTCTATCAACAATCTGATTTTGGCTAAATAAAAAAAGGAGAGAGGCCAAAGGGCTTTGTTTGGATCCCTGATGCAGCAGCAGAGTACCTCAGGGAAGCCTCTTCTGTGCCTGGAGTATATGATTCAGTAAGACTAGTACAGAATATACTAAAAGAATAAAACCGTTA